TTAATGCTTTTGCTAGCTGTTTCTTTGGAACAAGCTTCAATGCAGGTAGCCTTATTCTGTTGTTTTTGTGCTGTTCTAGATGCTCAGTTATTCTTTGTTTCAATTCTTTTATTTCTTTAGTTAGCGGGTTTTGTTCTTCCTGAGGAAGAGATGCCTGGTTTCCAAATGAGAACAATTGTATATCTCTGCTGGATTCCTTCACTGCCAACTCCCCCTGGTTTGCCTCTACATTCTGAGTTACTTCTGGTAAGGCTTTGATTTCTTTGCCCTGGGTAAACCTTTGCAGTTTGCCCAATTCTGTTTCTGTGAATACTTTATTTCGTGTTATAAATTGGCGTTGATCTGGTAGTCTCTGTTCTGTTATTTCTGATTCTGGATGTTGTTCTTTCCAGAACTGGTGCATTCGTTTTAGATATCCTCTTATTGTTGGACTTGATCTGTAGTAACAGATCATTATTTCTTTGTTTTCAATCACTGTGTATCTGCGACGGGTAAACATCTTTTCTTCCAGTAGTTCTGCAGCTGCTGGCCCTGGTTGCTCAGCCAACAGTCCTGAGTCCTGTAACTGATTTTTCACCAGATATTCAGGAACTCCAATATCTAGCACGGACCTTGTTAACCCGGGCGACGTCCGAGCCAGTATGGCATTCTGCAATTTATGTCTCACCGTATTTTTTATGGGAGAGACACTCTTTGTCTGACTCCTCTGATGAGACCTGTCCAGTATGATTGAACCTCTGGCATAGCTCTCATCTTCGTCAGAGTACACAAGCCCCACAACCACGTCAAGGTAGTGTCTCACTGGGGGATGATGATGATGATGATGATGATGATGATTATTATTATTATTGATCATCGCACAGTCAGCCAGATGTTCAGACTGGATTTGGCATTTTGTCTACCTATCGAGTCCTTACCCAGGACCTGGGATATGCAGATGTGGATGTTTGATGGTATTACAGATATCGTCGTAGGATGGAAGCAGTTCCTAATAAGGCCGCCTTTTGCAATTGACTAATAGCGAATTTGTCAATGCCAATGGTGTTCAAGTGGTGCTCCAGTTGTTTTGGGATTGCACCCAAGGAGCCTATTACTATTGGTACTACCCTTGCTTTTGCCACAATCTTTCTATTTCTATTTGTAGGTCTTTGTATTTTGTTATCTTCTCCAGTTCTTTCTTGTCTATTCTGCTGTCTCCAGGCACTGCCAAGTCCACTATCCAGACTTTTTTGTCTTTCTTATTAAAATAATAATAATAATAATAATAATAATTTGCTATTAGTCAATTGCAAAAGGCGGCCTTATTAGGAACTGCTTCCATCCTGCGACAATACCTGTAATACCATCAAACATCCACATCTGCCTATCCCAGGTCCTGGGTAAGGACTCGATAGGTAGACAAAATGCCAAATCCAGTCTGAACATCTGGCTGACTGTGCGATGAATGATAATAATAATAATAATAATAATAATACAATCACTAAGTGGCTAATCATAAATTGAGGACTACATGTACTTTCAAACTTTGGACAGCTTCCCTTGCTATAAATTCTCCTTCTTGGACCATTTGGAATATTCACATAGAGCAACTTTACTTAATTAGATTGTTTTTGGCTTTAAATAGAATAGATAAGAGATACCTCCTGTCATTTTGGTTGATTGATTTTGGAAAACTGTAGTTTGATCCTTTTTCTTACACTAAAATGATATTATGGGATGTCAACTTCTGCAGCTAACCTGGCTGAAGCCACCTTTGTCGTTCTGAGTTGCCACAGGTGGGCGGGGGGAGACGGCGAAAGGAAAATGACAGCTTTGCTAGACTAAACATAGTGCAGTCCTGTGGGAACCCAAGGTCATTCCCACAGGAGCTGGAAGGTGGAGAGAAAAGGTTTCACAGAGCCCACCAATTGCTTTTTTTATATAATATTTTATTAATTTTCCAATTTTACATTTAAGTACTTAAAAAGCAATGTGGTGGCTGGGTTAATCAATAGTTCGATAACAAAATCTTTAGTACAAATCTCAAGTTACAACATCAAATATTTCCTCTCTTTTTCCCTCAACATTTTCTGTCTCATATTTAAGCTAATACAGTTCTTACTATGTCAACTCAGTAAAAACATCATTATTACATTTATCAATAAAGTTTTAGCTTATGCGTAACTTAATTATTTTTTACATTCAATTTTCATAAACAATCCATATCCTGTTATTAATTTTTTCCCAATTTTTAGTTTCCCATCAGTATTCCAATTTAACCTTTGATATAATTTTCAGGCTTTAGGTAACCAAGATTTCCCTTATCTCAATTATAACAGAATCTAATATCCAAAATACACATTTTATTTATTTGAATATAATCTTGTTCTGTTTCCTAAAAGTTATCTAATTCCCACCATATTAAGTCATCTACTTAATAATACAATATCCACTTTAATAAATCAAAACTATTATATATATTATCTGGGTTAATCAATAAATCAAACATATTCACAATAATTGATTTTTTTTCTTTTAGGTCTAATTTTTAAATATTAAACAGATAAAATCCTTATTTTCAACTAATTTCCAAATATTTTAAATCTAATGACCAGAATTTCCCTTATCTCAAGTTCTCCCTTTAACCCTCTAATTAATAATATGAAATCTCCTCTAATAAATCGAAACCCCAGTTTGCCATCGCGGCCGCCACAGCCGCTGGAAGGCGAGCTCCGTCTTCCACGTTCGGTTTCGCTCCCCTGGGGGACCCTGGAAAGGGTCAAAAGTCACCCTGTAGGGAGGGCAGTAGCCTTTCTGCTCAATCTGGGACAGCCCTCCAAACCAGCGGAGGAAAGACCGGCCACAGTAATATAGCCCATCACTAGGCTGCAGATAGCTAAAGTGAAACTTATCACCAAGCACTTTGAAAGCAACACAAATGAAACTGAGTGAGATCTGATCTTCTCTTTACCCTAAGTACTTTCTTTTCCTGTAAAAGCTGCCTGAAGTATCTTTCCCCCTGTGAGGAGAGAGGGAAGCAAATTTCTATCCCACCCTCTAAGAATAGCAGTAACTGACTACTCAGGGAATTAAAGCATTAAAAGAACAACTTTAATCTAATTGGGTTTATATATTCCTGAAACTTGGGGACCAACAATTTTCCTATTTTTATTGGAGACTTTTGCTTTTATCCACAAAAAAGAAATAAAATTGGAAAAAAGATTATAAAAAATTTGGACTTAAAAAACCTTAAATGGCATCGGTGACATCTTGTGATGAAGTTTGGTATTACAACTTGTTATTTCCTAAAAGAGACTTGGCTTGAAGCCCAGACCTTAGATAAGACTCTTTTGACTTTGGCTTGGCACCCGCTGTGAGAAACTTAGCTGTAAGAGAACAGCTGGGTGGCATAACTGGCCTACTTGAACTGTGAATGTAAACCTTTACTGACTTTCAGAGTTATATGTTGGGAATTGCCTTCCTATCTCTTTATTTGAGGAATATTGGTCACTATATGAGATGATGAAATACCTTGGGCTATAAAATCTTGCTTGACAAACAACTTCTACTATAAAGGCTATTTATAAACATGTGAAAGAGATGGATGAAGACCAGGAAAAGATCCTTTCCATGTTGAAAGCAATACATGTGATAAAATAATACCCAACATAAAAGAACAAGATGCCAGCTTAGATACACAAACCCAAACTTTGACTACAACCAAAGAACTAACAACGCAGAAGATAACAGAAGAAGTGGAACAATCAAATACTAAGACAGAGGACTCAATTGACCAACAAATACAGTTAATGGAAAATCCAGAAAAGGGAGTGACACACTGAAAATGGAAAAGACATTCTATATAAATTAGAAGAAATTTGAGAAAGAAGAACAGATTGAATGGAAGATAAACATATCAGGGCAATCATGGGGAATTGGAATAATAGGGATACAACTTAATGAATACAAATGGGCTAGTCCTTCCAAAAAAATGGCAATTAAATGGTCTCCTTTATTTCAAATAACATATATAATAATAGAGGGAGATCTATTTGACGATCTAAAAGCACTGATATGGAAGCGTAGTTGGCAAAGGAAGAAAGCCAGAATAAGGCTACCAATTGCTTTTACTGGATAGAACGATCTATAGCATAGTAGAAGGGAGGGATTTGTTATATTTAGTTATATTGAATCCCTAAGGGGAATTTCACTTTTGACCATGCCAATATTATGTATCCAATAAACATATGCTTTGAGGAAACTTCAAGCCTCAGAGTTCTGCTTTATTTGGTTTCATTAGTTGGAACCTTGACAATTATCTAGACCATAACTTTGATTTTAAAAATCCCATGATAGATGGGTGCTGGATTTTTTTTTCTTAGCTCAGTTATTGAATGAAAATGATGTGTTTTTACAAATTTCCTTTGTTAAAGGTCATGTATTTATAAATCAATTCAATATAAAAATTCAAAAACAGAATGGAAAAGGGAACTGGAGAAGTCCATTTTGTCTAAACAATGGGGGGTTGTATTATCTTCTGTATGAAAAGGGTTTTTTATACCCTAGATTGCAGCTTATTTCAAAATGTATTAATTTTGATTTACTGTACCACATTGTGTTTGAAAAAGAATGAATAAATCACTGTTTTATAGAAAATGAAATAAATGCTTCATTCAAACACTTATTTTTGTGATGTCCTTATATTATAGAAATATGCTCTTTCATATCCTGACTTTTGTATACTATTTTTATTGCCAAGAGTCATGTTTATTTATTTATTTATTTATGAGACTTATATACCGCTTTAAGTGCAAGCACTCTCTAAGCGGTGTACACCAGTAAGCAATGTATATATATTTTACATTGCCCCCAACAATCTGGGTCCTCATTTTACCTACCTCGGAAGGATGGAAGGCTGAGTCAACCTTGAGCCGGTGAGATTTGAACCGCTGACCTGCTGAACACAGTCAGCTAAAGTGGCCTGCAGTACTGTACTCTAACTGCTGCGCCACCTCGGCTCTTAAATAAATAAATGTTCTTCAGCATTGGAAAGATAAATTTATGGTCTCAATTGCTCAATGAACTTAACAGTTGGTATTACTTACAATTTATGAATAAGATTAGATAGGAACCATTATAATGAAATACAAGCAATCTGGAATTAAGGAGAAATTTCTTAACAGTGAGGACAATTAACCAGTGGATCAGCTTGCTGTCAGAAGTTGTAGGTGCTTCATCACTGGAGGTTTTTAAGAAGAGACTAGATATCCACCTATCTGAGATGGTATAGAGTCTCCTGCTTGAGCAGGGGGTTGGACTAGAAGCCAAGGTCCCTTCCAACTCTATTCTGATTGATTGAACAATAATTCTTTAATCTAACCTTTGTGCAAATACACATACACAATATCAATATGCACACTGTGGCTTTTTCTTTTTCTTCGGTTAAATCAAATAAAGGACATTTTTAAAACATGAAGAAAACTGCTTGAGATCTGGAGGATAATTTAGAACCTAAAGAAATAAAAACACACTTGATTATTTAGTAGGATTACTTATTTTAGAGATTTCTAGACCATCCTATCATGAGACAATCTGCTATGCATGAAACAAAGCATGGGTGTACAATTTTGGTCTGATTGGGAACTGCAGGATGTGTTGTTTTTAACTTGGTGGTTACAAAGGCTCTCTGATAACAGCAGTGATTAGGGTAAGAACTTCTGGTCCATTTTTAATTTGGAGACAGTTAAGTTAAGCAAGATGTATGAGTATACATACATAAGTATACTCTCATATAATTCTCAAATTAAAAAAACCACAGGAGAATACCATCCTCCTGAAAATTCCATTATGAAAAATAATCCTGCTGTCAAACTTTACAGTACTTTGGGAACTGAGAGCTTCCATGGTTAAAGGCTTTCTCAGCCCTTCAAGTTATAGTTAACAGGAAATGTTTCACAACACTGAAGGTAGATCAATGGTTTTGCAAAGCCCAGTTTAATGGTTATCTTTTAAACAAATGAGATACGTGTGAGAATTGGAGGCCATGCTCACCAGTTAACAACATAAAGAAAATAATATAATATTATAAATTCTCTTGTCATTTCATTTTTGTATTTGTAATTATTTCAATTTTTGTTATTTGCTATTATCATTGAAGTAGTTACACATTCATCCTCAAACCCATTTCATTCCAACTGATTTTTTGAAAGCCTCTTTCACCTCCTTGTTTCTGAGAGAATAGATCATAGGGTTCAGCATAGGCACCACCACTGTGTAGAAGACAGAGGCCACTTGATCTTGGCCCAATGAGTAGCTGGTATTTGGGCGAAGGTAGGTAAATATCAGAGTTCCATAGAAGACTGAGACCGCTGTCAGGTGAGATGTGCAAGTAGAAAAGGCCTTACGCCTGCCTTGAGCAGAACGGATCTTCAGGATGGCGGAGAGAATTAAGGTGTAAGATAGGAGAATGATGACCAAGGATGCAAGGGTGGTATACCCAGCCAGAAGTGATATGATCATTTCAGTGACATGGTGATCTGAGGCAAGTGCTATTAGGGGAGGAGTGTCACAGAAGAAATGCCTGATGATGTTAGAGTCGCAGAAATGTAAGCTGCTTAAAAAGTATACTGTTAGCATGGCATTTGTCAGGCCGAGGAAACACGAACCAGCAACCAATGTGACGCAGATGTTTTGTGACATAATTGTAGAATAGAGCAAGGGATTACAGATGGCTATATAACGATCATAGGCCATTGTGGCCAGCAGGAAACATTCTGTGCACACCAAGGCCACAAAAAAGTAGAGCTGAGCAAAGCATGCACCAAAGGAAATTGATTTGTAACCTGTTAGAAAACTCATTAGCATCCAAGGGGTGATAACTGAGGAATAACAGATGTCAGCCGCAGACAAACTGCATAGGAAAAAGTACATGGGGGTATGAAGCTGAGCGCTGATCCTGATTAATATAATCATTCCCAGATTCCCCATCAGGGTGGTAATGTAGATCGTGAGAAAGACAGCAAACAGTGGAGGGTCCTGCTCCGGAGATTCTGAGAACCCCAAGAGAATGAATTCTGCCACCAGAGTGCAGTTTCCATCTTCATCTCTTTCCAGAGTCTGCAATCTGTTAATGGATTTAAAATGAAATTCCTTCAGTTTTCACAATATATTACAAGTGAGACATGCTTAAAAATGAAGTTCTGTTTACATTGATTACATTCGAGGGATTTCATCTATGTCCACAATATATCTTACTGCATATGATACTGCCCTGATGCTGTTCTCAGTCCAGTTTGCCTATGTATTCTAATTCCATGGTTTCCCTGTTATAAACTCCCCAGCATCATTTAGGTGAGATGGGTGGTGTAGAAATGTAATAAATAAATAAATAAATAAATAAATTTACCTGAGATGTAAGAATAGAGACATATTTTCCAAAGAAATAGGTACTACTTGCAGCTTACATAAATATGGTGTTGTTTAAGATTACAGAATCATGATGGGAAAAATTTGCTACCTAACAGTAAAGCAATTTGCATGTAAGAGGTATCCAGATGAACCCATGGTAGTTTAAGCAAGTCCAGGAAGAAATTCTGTTTGAAGTCTCATCTGTTAATATGGAACAAGAATATGCAAAGTGGCACCTCCAGGAGTTTGGAATCAACTCCCACTGACCTCATGTGGGACAGACAATAGGAACACCAAATTGCCACGCTTCTAATGTGGGCAGCACTGAGATGACTGGCCACTGCCTGATGTCATTTAGTACAACATACTTTCCTGTGCTGGAGGAAAATAAAAATAAGTCAACAATCATTTCCTGCTCTTTTGGGACATCCACAATCAGCAGCTCATGAGGACTGTGTGTTTGTGGATTTCTGGTGAGGGTATGGTGACCTAGACATCCCTGAAGGAATGTGGAAAGAATTGCCTCTGAGATTGCCAGCCATAAGTTAGAGGATAGATCCTGGGTGGTAAAATCTCCCTGGAGAAAGGAGAGATTGTGGAATTGCTCACATGTATTCCAGCCAGGTGTTCATTGTGAGTAGACTGTAAGAACTGAGGTTTCTGCAGTCAGCAGGTGAGTGGAATGGTTGGGATTCGAGGGATTTCAACTATGTCCACAATATATCTTACTGTATATGAACATAAAGTGTGGCTGAGCCTCATAATCAATTTTGAATTAACTTTTTACTGCTTTTTAAATATTAATAATTTTTGGAGTAGCAAGTTTGATGGCATTCGCTGGATAAATTTTCTTCAATCCTTCATGAAAGAAATTTAAAGTGCTATTTTAAGGACTTAGCAATTTTGGGGAATAAACATCAAAAGGCTATTATGATGTTTTTGTAGTATAAATGGACTAAGAGTCTAGATTGACCTGAAACAGGATTTTCAAATTAATTGAATGAATCTTTCCCACAGGAAAATGATTTATGTTTTGAAATTCCAAAAAAATTTCCCAACAATCCCCTGCAACATGATAGGATGGGACTTCGAAGATTTTTCACCAGTGGGAGGTAAAAAGAAATAAACATTACAATTAAAGGAGAAAAAAAAAACACCTATTTGACTTGTTAACAAGAATGGAACAAAATACCTTAACATCACTGTGAATGATGGTATGGATGAGGAACAAGTTATAGTGGGTAAGACTGAAATAGATTTAAACGTGGATTTAATAATGATAAGCCCCAAGAATGATCTGGAAAAAGATGAAATAGTGGATATACAAATGAAATAGTGGATAAACAAATTTTAATAATTAAAAGGACATACAATCTACCAAGCAGGAGAATGACTTGGATATTTTTCCTATACTGAATTTACTAGAGACCTGTTAAAATTTTGTAAGATGGTGAGAAGGGAGAAAGAAAAAAAGAAAAAAAATCAAGTTTGAGAATATTATTTGGAGGGATTAAAGGTTAAAAATAAAGGGAAAGAATATAAAGTTGCTTAATTTGATTAAAATTAAAATATATGATATTTTTCTGGTAACCCTTAATGGACTTTTGCTGACTAGGACTGAATGACATGGCATTAAGAATTTGTCTGCTGATGTGATTCAGTATGAAAAGATTGTTGTATTTGAAAAGAAAGTGATGGGTTGTTAAAATTATTTATTTGTTTTTGAGATAAAGGAGGAAACTACTTCTTCATATATTTTTCTTTTTTGTTATATTCTTTTCTTTATTCTTCCTTTTATATTATTTTTCTTGTCTTTCTTTTTATTTGTATTAAACTATTTTTTCTTTATATTTCTTTACTTTCTGTAGTGTGCATTACTTTCTGTTTTGTATAAATGTAAGACTTAATAAAGTTATTTGAAAAAGGAGTGTATGTGTCTGCCTTACTCTGTCAAACTGACTCAAGAAACAAAATAACATGATAGCTACTGATAGACGAGATCAATGTACCTTAATTTTTCAGTCTGAAAATGAGAACATATACCACTGAACATGTCTTTCAACAGAAAGGCTGAACACAAACCATAGTAAACAAAAAAGTATGATAGTTTGTGATGTAATAAATAGATAGATAATATGACTTCTATCCACTAGATCATTTAATTGTGAAATATATTTCTATTATTTCATGAACCATAGATGTGACATTTTTTGTAACGTTGAGTTTCCATAAGCCAACATTTCGTTCATACTTTCCAAAATTCAAAGCACTTTCCCAGTATAATCCATCTGAATGGTTATAAAGGCAAATTAGTGTGATACATGGGAGAAGGGCTTGAAATAGAGAGTGAGAGAGATTGCTTAAGGTCATTTAATGAATTCCTGGAACTGGTGATACTTAAATTGAATTTTGTTCTTTCTAACTCAGCCTCTTTGCTACCATGCTACACTAGCTCACATAACCTGCTTTTGCAATGAAAAGATGAGACTTACCTTGTTTTTTGAGAAAGTAGCGTGTTTGCTCAAAAATGAAAGATTTCTCCTGTGGAAAAACAGGCTCTGGAGACCTATTCTGGTTTCAGATGTTGGTTAGACTGTAGCATTTCAATGAATTAGCAGATGACACAACAGCCTCAAAACTGTTAGTCAGGAGATTCTAATATGACGATGTAGTCTTGATTCTGGTATCTATTCCCAATGTTGTTCTATAACTCTACTAAAACTTGCATGCTGATTCAGAAAGCTTAGACCTGCAATTTATAGGACAGAAAACACATATCTGGGGAAACTATTAATTCTTGACTTTGAGAACCATCTTATCTATTATAATGATAAATTTGTCCATTACTGTAATTATTGGAAAATGATTTTTTTTTTAAAAAATAAATCTTTGTAGAAACACACACACACACATACACATTTGCACACATGCATGCACACACTCATGAACAAATACACACACACATTTGCACACATGCATGCCCGCACACATGCACAAATGCACACACATATTGCTCACATAGCTCCTTTATACTTGCTTGAATTCAGAAGTTATTATCTAGTTAAGAAAATGTACAGAGCAATGATATTTCCTCTTTTGGCTCTTTCTTCCAAACAAAATAGAACTTAGAGTAACATTAGGCATAGCCATCTAGTTTAAAAAAAAACAGCCTCTATTTGTATTTGATCACTTTTAAAGCAGATTAATTACCTATTACAATATATTCCACTATATAGTGTCAAGACTGAAAAAAGGGTCGGTATGAGGTTTTGAAATGAAAGCATATTTTGATCAAAATAAAGGAGCTTCTACATTGGTAAAAGTGCTTAATTTCCACTAAATATACCAGAAAGAAACAGCAAGCCCTCCCCTCCCTAAGCTGACCACTGTGAAAAGAGAGAGAGAGAAAAAACAGAAGGAAAGATTAAAACTAACCACAAATGTTCTGTGTCATTTGTCTTCTTTTCTGCCATGCAGACTTATAGTCTTTATTTAGAGTAAATAGAAACAAGAATAAATAAGATTTGCTGGCACAATATTTAACCAGAGCTTGGATTTTCTGCTCATGGGGTATTGAACACAAGGGAAATTCCCTGAAGGGCCAAACATACACACCTCTCTGGTCATGTATGACAATGAGGAACACAAGACATAGTTTATTCCCAGACCGTTATAGGATGAATGCTTGAATGTCAAGGGAGTTTTACTAACCAAAAAACTGCAAACATTTATTCTGCCAGTGATAAACTGAACAAGGTGAAGCCACAGCATTATACTGGATCCCAAAGCGTTTCTAAACGTTTTCCACTAGCATCCTTAAAAAATGTTTTTGTATTGACATCACATAGATAAGGTTTTTTTTTTGCTTCAATATTATAGATTCTTGAAGGTACACCCATAAATGTGTTTATGACCCCTGTTCTTTTGGTGACACATATCCTTAAACTCACTTCAAGCTTTAAGTGTTGGCCAGCTTTAACCAAGTTAAGAAGCAATGTTTCTTGTTTTTTACAGGCTTTTCTGAGGAAAAGTATACATTTGCCCGGAAATAAGTGCTACTGGGCTTAGTCACTGAACATGGACTGCATTGTAAGCAGTAGTTAATAAGTAAAAAAGTGTTAAAATTATATGATACAAATAATAAGGTATAGGATCATAGGATCATATGTCTAACATATAACTAGTTTTACATGCTTAAATATGCTGTAAAGAAAAAAATCCTCACAGTTTTGATTGGTCTCTTTTTCTCTTGTCACGTAATGTATGCATGTGTATATAAGATATAAATAATAAATAAAATCTGAGTATACAGCATGTCATAGGATATGTTTCTCAACTTAAGCAATCTTAAGATATGTGGACTTGAATTCCCAGAATTCAAGCAACTCCCAGCAGGTTGGCTGGGCTACTCTGGGCCTATCCATCCATCTTAAAGTTGCTGAGGTTGAGAAACTGGGGTAGGTAGTGCTTGGACTAATGGGAAGGCTTGGTCTAAGGCAGGGCTGTCAAACTGCTGGCCTGTGGGCCAGATGCGTCATGGTGAAACCGTGCCCACACTATTGCCGGCAATAGAAAAAAAGTCGTGATATGTCGCGACACGTCATGTAATGTTGCGAGTTTGACCCCCTGGTCTAAGGGGTTCTCTGAGCTTGGTTGTTTTCTTGCAGATGTTTCATTACCTAAACTAGGTAACATCATCAAGGTTTGGTCTGCATACAAAACTAGTCAAGGACCTGCAAACCCTATGGATGTTTAGGCCAAGGCCAACCCTAATACAGAGATTCTTAGAACCCTTTCTGGTGAGGAGAATAAGGGATTACAACTACTGAAAAGTCTTCACTTCTCAGGGAAGTGCTTCAGCTTGATGATTCCCTCTAAAGCAGACATGTCAAACTCACAATGTCACGTGACATCGCGCAATGTATCGGGCTGGTTTTGCCATTGCCGGCAATGGGGTGGGCACGGCTTCTGGATGACGCATCCAGCCTGTGGGCTGGCAGTTTGACACCCCTGCTCTAAAGGGCGAATAGGCAACATCTCTTAGCACTTGGGGGCCTATTTGATTATGGGGTCAAATGGCAAAATATCAGTGAAGGGAAAAGTCTTCATGCCTTGGCCCCGTGTCTGTTTCTTACCTAGCCTTTGTTACAGTGGTTACCTTGCCCTGTACTTAAGAGAAAACTCCCTCCCTGCCTATATTTGTGCTTCTCTCTCCTCAAGATGTTGGTAGAACATCTGCTAGCATCCATTAATAACTGGGCAAAGTTGATATTTACATCCCAGATTACCAAATTATGAGCATTTTTAATGGGACATTCTTCTATATGATTATTCAGTATTCTTTCAGCATTCTGTTTATGTTCAGGAGCATATTTTACAAGGGTTGTGGTTGAATTCAAATCTCCAACACTGCATCAGAAAAGCTGAAGTGTCTGTTGCAAAATCTTTTTAATAGGTTGGAAAGGAAAGTATACAGAGACAGTACGCTGGGCAGTCTAATGTTTTGGAAGTGGCCCTGAAGAATATGAGCATGCACCACCAACTTAGTTTCAATTTCCAGGCTTTTGCAGATGGAGATTTATCCTCAGAATGTACACAGCTAGCCCAAGCTTAGCCTTTAAAAAAAAAAAAAAGAATAACCTAACTGACTTGTCACTGATGTGAGCAAATGTTCATGATAGAACTGGGGAGACCCAAGTTCAAGTCCACCTACAATCATGAAAATGTATTCAGTATTTCTCAGATCAATTTTACAGAATGGTTGTTGAGAAAAACTGGAGGATGGAGTGCTATATATAGTATTTTGCTCTAAGCTCTTAGTGCAGTGGTTCTCAACCTTTCTAATGCTGCGACCCCATAATACAGTTCCCCATGTTGTGGTGACCCCCAACCACTTATACATCACCAGGTGCCAGGGGCATGGCCAAAGAAAAGGGGGGAAAAATGGCGGACAGCCTTGTTTGGCGACCCCCGTGAAATGGTCGTTCGACCCCAAATGGGGTCCCAACCCACAGGTTGAGAACCACTGTCTTAGTGGAAAAACATACAACAAATAAAAGCAATGTCCAATAATTCATAAATATTGAAGGTGATTCTGTTGCTATTAATCTGTGACTGGTTTGGTAATTGGAATATTTATGAAAAATTAAAGACAAATGGAAGCTCGACTCACCTCTGAATATAGCTGAAAATTTTATGAGTTTTGTTAATGCTGATTTGTGAAAATATGTAGAAGTAGATAACAATTTGGTATGTTTTCAGTGCTCAGTATGGCAATTGTAAGAGAAAGTATGGATATTATAAATCTTTGATTAAGAAAGGTATCCAAACCAAAAGCTACAGTGTTATGAACCCAATTTCCTTCCCTAATACATCAAGCTTTAAAATCTAAACATGGTTCAAAGATTTCCACTTTCTTTTGATTAAAAAGACCAAATACTGTCTTTGAACAACCGCTAGATGTCAGCCAAGATCCATCTAGTAATGCAATGTTTCTGGTGATTTAAGAGGAGCCGAGATAGGATTTATGAGGTGGTAATAACTATTCCTTAAAAGTAAATCTCTCTTAAAAAAAAAAAAAAAAAAAGCTTTCACTTGCGAAGTCTTTGATTTAAGTCCCTAGTCTTCACCCCCTCAGAAACTAAGCCTAAATAACATAATAGTATTTCTCTATGCAAATCACATTTCGCTTTTTCCTCTCCCATTCAATTATTGTTCTCTCATGTTGCTCTGATTTCTGTATGTATATTGCAAGTTTTCCAGAGCAGAGATTTTTTTTAAAGGATAGCCCAGTCTCACTCTCATAATTATTTCAACTCAGAACTCTTTACAAAAATTCAGAATGATTGCTAATGAAATTACAGAATGTTTTTTTAAACATTTCATTAATTTAAACATGCATCTGAAAAGTCATTAAACTGTGGAAGACTTGCCCAAACCCTACTCACTTTAGCATTTACCAGTAGTGGGAATCTGTATTAAATTACTCTATACTGGCTAGGCATGAAACTGCAAGGATAGATTTCCAAAGTTGCAAAAACTGTAATATATAGATTTTTAATTTCCCATTTTTTATTATTCCTATAAGTAACTCAAATCAGGGAACATACTGTATTGAGATATTGAGAGCCATATTGAAAATCAGTTAGGGTGCTGATCTAAAAGCCAGGAGTCTGTGAATTATAGTCTAGTCTTAGTCCCAGTCTGGTGACCTTGAGCCAGTCTCACTTTCTCAGTCCAACTCATATTAAAGGTGGGATTAAAATAAATAAGTAAATAATGAATGAATGAATCAATTAATAAATATATCTAATACTCCTTCCTCCTTCTGATTTCTCCACTACAACTATCCTGTGAGATGAGTTGGGCTGAGAGAGAATGAGTGGCCCAAAATCACAGACTGTTGTATATCAAATGCAAGTCTTATTTACAGGGAAATATAAGATTCATAATCTTCAAAATCTTTTTTCTTCTGCCTGATACAACTATCTGGAACAGGCATGTCAAACTCGCAATGTCACATGATGTGTCACGACGTTTTTCCCATTGCCGGCCATGGGGTTTGCGCGGTTTAAGTATGATGCATCCGGCCCACAGGCTGGCAGTTTGACATGCCTGATCTAGAAGCTGCTGGCTTTTGGGTGGGAGAAATATTTTCCATCTGTTTCTTGGTTTGGTGATGAACTGGTCTGGTATTGGGCTGTTAGTTTTAGCTGCGTGAGAATTGGCTTTCATTGTTTAAAAGGGTTGAACTGTACAAATCTTATGTGTCTATTGAGAATAATCTCAGGTGCAGTTCATTGTTAATAGGCCTTAGTGCTGAGTAAGAGGATTTAGGATTGTAGCTCTTACATTTCATAATGTCTTCATTGATTAAAAAGTTGAGGTTTTCTGGATAGAAAAATAAAAAATATTTTCTGGACACCAGAAGTTAGATATGAAATATATTGGGAGAGTATAAAGTTAAAGCAGACTTACTGTCTTCCCAATATAGCCCTCCATGTTTGCGTCCATGGGCAGGGAGGAGAGTTGACCTCAAATTAACTTTTCTAGCCAGGTTTTGTTAAATCATGGTCATGCTAGACTTCAGGTGAGAGACCAACAAGCAATATCTTATCGTAGGTTAATGATAAAATATTGCTGGTTAGTCTTTCGTCAGATCTCATAGACACCAGGCCTCTGGGTTCCAATGACTTGAATTTGGCCTGCCATGTTATGCAAATGCAGCCATTTCGGCTTATAGATTTACATTAAACCACAATGAAGTTTGATTACTTTTATTTTAGCAGGTTGTTCAAACTCAGCCAATTGGAGAGGGTGATGGTAGTCATGACACAATGCAACATGCAAACCTAGCTAGCATAATACCTATAACTCAAGCTAACTGTGGTCAGACAGCGCTTGGTATTTTTTCTGCAAGATGGATTTTTTTTTTTTACTATCATACTGGGAGGCTCTGTTCCCATCCTGATGAGGATATAATTGATGTTTC